TACCTCGTATGGATGATTTGTTTGATCAACTTCAAGGAGCGAAGTACTTCACCAAGCTAGATTTGAGAAGCGGCTACAATCAAATTCGAATTGCAGATGAAGATGTTCACAAGACAGCTTTTCGTACTAGGTATGGACACTTTGAGTATCTGGTGATGCCTTTTGGTCTCACTAATGCACCAGCTACATTCATGGGATTGATGAACGATATCTTTCGCCCTTATCTAGATAAATCTGTCATTGTTTTTCTAGATGATATATTGGTGTATAGCAAAACTTTGAGTGATCATAGAAGTCATTTACGAGAGGTACTTCAAGTTTTAAGAGACAATCAATTGTATGCCAAAGCTTCAAAATGTGAATTTGGCAAGTCAGAAGTAGATTACTTGGGTCATAGAGTTACAGCTACAGGAATCCAAGTGATGAGTGAGAAGATAGATGCCATTCAAAAATGGATAGCACCTGAGGATCAAACTCAATTGAAGAGTTTTCTAGGGCTCACTGGATTCTATCGTAGATTTGTGAAAGGTTTTGCTCGACTAGCTCAGGCCTTGACTTCCATGTTAGGGAAAGGTCAAAAGTGGAGATGGGGAACAGCTCAAGAGTTAGCTTTTCAAGCATTGAAAGATGCTTTGTTACACGCACCTATTCTCAAGTGGTATGATCCTAACCGTTCTATCAAGTTGGCCACTGACGCATCAGGTACAACAGTAGGTGGCATACTTCAACAAGAATGGGAGGATGGATGGCATCCAGTTGCTTTCTATTCTCGAAAGTTGGTGGCGGCGGAACAAAATTATCACACGACAGAACGGGAGGAGTTAGCTATCGTGTTGGCAACCAAACATTGGAAGCATTATTTGGGTGATAAGGAGTTTGTGGTGGAGACTGATCATAAACCCTTGGTTTATTTGGAAACTCAGAAGGATCTGTCCAAACGACAAATTCGATGGGCAGAGTGGCGTCAACGCTTCAACATGAAGATTGTGTACGTGGAGGGAAAGAAGCAACTTGCAGATGCTCTCACACGCATGCCTTGTTTGAATCATGTTGCAGAAGTGAAAATTCAGGCGGATTGGTGGAGCAAGATGTCACAAGCCACAAAGGAGGATGAAGAGATCACTCGAGCACTACAAACTGGAAAGGCAGAGAAATCTCGAGGTTTGGCGTTTTACAATCAGCGTATATGGATTCCACAAGATCACGATTTGCGCACAATGATTTTGGCAGAAAGTCATGATACAGCCATTGCAGGTCATGTGGGAGTGGAGAAAACCGTGGAGAGTATACAACGAGTGTACTATTGGCCCAAAATACGTGAGGATGTGGAGTCTTACGTTCGAAGTTGTGTTGCTTGTCAACAAAACAAGGCAAGTAATAAAAAACCAGCGGGTTTATTACAACCTCTTCCTATTCCCGAACAGCGGTGGGAACATGTCACCATGGATCTTGTATGTGAGTTACCAAGGACTTCGTTAGGACATGATTCAGTGGTGGTTTTTGTGGACAAATTGAGCAAGATGATTCACATCAGGCCAACCACAAAAACAGTAACAGCTCCACAACTAGCTCAATTGTATCTAGATGCAGTTTTTGTGAATCATGGCTTAAGCAAAGTGTTAATCACAGATAGAGGTACTCACTTCACTAGTTTATTTTGGAAAACTTTGTTTAGTTTTTTCAAAACAAAACTAGCAATGTCAACGGCCTATCACCCTCAAACTGATGGACAAACTGAGAGGGCAAATAGAACCATAGAGGATATGCTACGAGCATTCACATTAGAAGAGCAAGAAGAGTGGGACAACCTTTTGCCACTTGTGGAATTTGCATATAACAATTCTGTTAATGCATCCACAAAAGTGTCTCCATTTTTTCTTATGTATGGAGCTCATCCGATAACTCCTTCAAGTTTGATGAGACTTCCGAAAGGAGAGGAGTTTTCGACCAAAGTTGCAGCAGTCAACGAATTCGTGGAGCATATTCACCAAGGACTACATCAGGCCAAGGAGAAGTTGGTGATAGCTCAAAATCGGCAAAAGCAGCATGCCGATGCTCATCGTAGAGAAGTGATTTTTGAGGTTGGAGATCATGTTTGGTTATCTACAACGAATTTGTCTCTTGTAGGAACACCAAAGTTAAACCCTAGGTTCATTGGTCCATTTTTGGTTTTGAAGCGTGTTGGTGAAGTGTCATACAAGTTGGAACTTCCGTCACATATGAAAATACATCCAGTATTTCATGTGTCACGATTGCGAAAACATGTACCACGACCAAAACAATTCACCAACCAACCAGCACCACATCCTCTTCCAACCTTGATAGCAGATCATGAGGAGTTTGAGGTAGAAAAGATACTCAAGAAACGTATTCGAGGTCATAAATATCCCAAAGTAGAGTATTTGATTCAATGGAAAGGCTATCCATCGTATGAATCAACTTGGGAACCAGCTAAAAATTTAACAAATGCACCTTTGATAGTTCAGGAGTTTGAACGTATGTGCAACGAGGACGTTGCATCTTAAAAGGAGGGAGGTTTGTAACCAACTTTAGTTAGTTAGAACTAAAGTAGAAGTTACTCTGAATATTGATGTAGATACTTTAGTGTGCACTAGTCATAGCTGCCACGTCAGCGATCCGCGCACTTGGTAGGTACAGAGTGGATGTGTTAGTTGACAGTGCCACGTCAGCAATCCGTGTGCTTGTAGCTAAGGATTGAGTGTGTTAGTTAGTGTGTTAGTTGGGTGCGCCACGTCAGCGATCCGTGTGCTTGTTAGGGTTATCCGCCACGTCATCCATCCACTAGGAGTGGTATGGATGGTGGGGATTAGATCTTATCACCTTGTACTTGTTGGTGAGAGCTATATAAGGGAGAGGAGAACCATTGTTGGTATCTCTCATCTTCAGAGTTTACGTTTCTATCTTCGAGTGAACTTCTCTCTAAACCCTAGTGTTACACTTGAGTCAAAATATTTTAAATTACATCAAACATTTGAATCTTAAAAAATCAAATATCTGTCAAATTTACACGGCTTATCATTTCACATATAAGTTGAATCGTTTGATATTAAAAATATAAAAATTTTTTTATTAATGTACAAATTATGATAAAAATTAGACCATATGTTTAAAATTCATACATCATCAATATTTTGTGTGAATCGCATGGGACATATCTCTTACTTCAAAATCTATTGTTGAGTTAGTCATACTCCTAGAGGTTTAAATTTTTAAACCATATTTTTTTAACAACGTTGACCTTCACTTAGCAATCTCCGAAGTGATGACTATTTGAAAATGATTCATGCATTCATTATAATAAAATTAAAATAGCGATTGGATCAATTTATAAGTATGATGTAGAAGTATTCAATAATGCTAATATACATTCAATAATCAAACATATAGCTAAATTTTTTATTTTATTAAAAAAATTAAATTTTGTATACGCATATTACATTATGGCTATATAAGTGAAATATCATCAATAATTGCATCATAATGATTCAAAAGCAAACATTATGTAAATATAAAAAAGATCAAATAAATTTTTTTGATGAACTAAATTTGATATTTAAAAATTTCAATTTTTGAAACAAAATTTTGATTTTTTTTCTGTTTTATTTTTAATTTTTTATGATTTTTTCTAGGATAAAAAATTGATCATTTTTTGCATGTTAAAAAATATATAATATTATTTAAAAATTATTATTATATACATCATATACTCATTTGGGGAAATTAAATTCAAAAATTTTGCAATATCTAATAAAATAAACAGAATCTTTTTATTTATTTCATTTAATATAATGATATTTATATTATCAATTTATCACATATTTAATCCATGATATGAACATATTGTTTAAAATCTATGAATTATGCATGTATAAAGTCAACACAAAACATTAATGTTTAAATTTTGACTTCTTATAAAAATAAAAATAAATTAAAGATCATAAATATGATGCAAATTTAATTTTAATTTTCACTAGGAAATAATTAAAAATAGAAATTAGTCAAGATTTCATCACAACAATTTATAAGTAACTATTTTTTATTTTTTGATTACAACATTTGGATTAATATTTGTCATCAAATTATTTTTTAATATCACATTTACATATGAATTATAAAGTTGTCAATTTATAAAACATGATAATGCAAATAATCATGTATGTAAGAAATTGTATTTGATAGAAATGAAAAGACATGATATATGATTAAGCCAAACTTCACTAGCATGTAAATTGCATGAGTATTGAAAAAATTATGATTAATTTTTTTGTGAATTGATCTATTTTTAAATGATTCACTATAAGGGAGTGTATCATTAAAAACTATAGTAATTTCAATACACCATGATTGATCATAGAACTGTAGTCCAACATGTGAGATGAAAAGATAAGAATGTGAATCCATATGCAAAAAATTGATCTCATAAATTTTTATATAATTTTCTTCAAGAGGAGCTAGAAGTAGTGTAACTTTCAATTTATTATCCCAGATGAATGATCGTTACTTTCTCACAAAGCGAGTAATAAGTGGGAAAAAAATTAAAGTAGCCATTAGACTAGGATTCAATAACATCATAAAAGAAAACACGTAATACTGTACATACTCGGCACAGAAGGTAGAAAGACCTCCTAACCCCAATTCTGAAAATTTCCTTGCAGCTGGTCCCTAGACTCTGCGATGGGAGTGTAGAGACGAGGCAATGAGTCACTGAACAGGGAGAAACCCAGAGTTTACAACATCTGGAACCGTTTCAGGTTGCACGCGGCACCCGCTTCGCTTCGCTGCACTTTCCATGGACGATTTGCATTGTCCGCGTCCGCCACCACTCCTCGGATTCTCGACTCCATCCTCTTGGATTTTCCACGCTTGCACTCACCGAAATTCGCCGCGAGCCGAACACTCTCACCAATGTGGTCTGCACATTTCGCTTGTCCGTGCCGCACTTAGCACCACACTCGCTCACAAGACCATGAAGACTGATGATGACAGGTCCTAGAGGTCCGCTGGCCTTCCATGCCCTGGGGTACGAGGAATTAAATTGTGGAAACCCGAGGTACAGTATGAGGAAGTATTAGGAGTATAAAGAGGTAAATATCTCCAGGTACGAGGAATTAAATTGCGGAAACTCGAGGTACAGTATGAGGAAGTATTAGGAGCATAAAGAAGCAAAAATGTCGAGGTGCGAGGAATTAAATTGTGGAAGGTCGAGGTACAGTTTGAGGAAGTATTAGGAGCATAAAGAAGCAAAAATGTCGAGGTGCGAGGAATTAAATTGTGGAAGGTCGAGGTACAGTTTGAGGAAGTATTAGGAGCATAATAAAGACGTAAAAGTCTCGAAAGGAAGGAGGAGCTGACCGGACGTACGATAACTTGCCGGTCAAACTTCCGCGGCGTGAGGGCGAGGCTGAGTTCGTCGTCCTATGCATGACGAAGCTGGGAGCAGCGTAACCACCTCCTTCCTTCCGTGGTCACCGCAGAGGCTAGTTCCTCACCACACCGCAGTCCGTTCGTCCGACCCGGGCAACCCTAAAGTCAAGAATACACCAGCGCAATAACACCGTTGTCCCAGTCAGCAGCGCTCCTGGACGACGTGGACGTTTCCAGCCGCGAGTTTGGACGAGGACGGTCCGGACAGGAAAGACCGCCCGGTTCGTGCTGACTGGGGCGGACGGAGGGCGGGGTCGGCCGGGCAGGAGAGGGGAGGAGATGGAAGGGGAGGAAGGGATGTTGGAGGGAAGGCGGAGCTGGACGGACGAGGGCGAGGACGAGGTCGAGGTCCAACGAGCGCTAATCGGATGCTGATCATGAGCATTAATTACGGCCCAGAGTCACAACCTGAGTTGCTAAGACGGCGGAGGACAGGATCAGTACTGAGCGGGGAAAAATCGGAAGTTTCGGACGGCGGAAGCATTTCGATTATGACTAATTGGGCGACGGTAATGGTGTATGGGGACAGGGCAGGAAATGGTCAGTGGACTACCACGCGGCGTTGACTGGTGCGTTCGCTTACAACAGAGTTCTTGCGAGGAGCATTTGGTCTCCTCCATCCGCCCTCTCCATTCCGCATTTGCCATCGCTCCTTTCCTGTCGGAGTTCGCATGATGATGATCCTCTTCATGCGTGCTCGAAATCAGGACCTCTTGGCCGCTCTGCATGCCATGGATTAGGAAGGAATGAAGGAGGGAATGAAGGAAGAAAGGCAGGCAGGCAGGTAGCAAGAAAGAGAGAACGGAATAGGAGCGCGCGAGGGAGAGGGAGAGGGAGGGGAGGGAGGGAGAGTGATATAGGGAGTCGATAGTGTGGCAAGTGGGTAAGCAGTCTGGTGTTCAAGGTGTATAGATTTTGGATCTGCGCGTGGGCGATTGACTAATTAGGCATATTCCTGGGACTTGCTTTGTACTGTATAACTTTGATCTCACAAAGAGAGAGAGAGAGAGAGAGAGAGAGAGAGAGAGAGAGAGAGAGAGATATGTAATTTTGTATATACAGAGATCGAGTAGTACGTGCTAGAAATTTGGCAGGAATTCCGTGAGGGGAGCGGGTTTGGAAGGGGAGGAATAGGGAAGAAGTTAGTTGAGTCGGGTTGGGGCTGGGTGAGGAGACGGACGGATATCAAGAGGGCATCTGCGAGCTTGGAAAGAACAGAGAGCAACAGTTCCAGATTGTGGTGGTTGTGATTGATTTTGAGACCAATCTGCCATTGTTCGCTAAGTTGTGGCCTCTCACCGTACTCTGCTGTGCCGAGCGAGGGGAAAAAGTGGAGTCCTCTCTCGGGCGGACCAGGCGGAGGAGGAGTTTCAGGGGTTCTGAGATTGGGGCTAGATTGGATTAGAAATCGGGTCAAGAACACTCAAGTTGTGACATGTCTGTGTTGATCAGGCAGAGAAAAGAAGTCGACATCTTTTGACGGAGGAGAAAAAGCAGTCGGCCCGCTCAAATACCGTGTGGGGAGTGATTGTGGAAAAATTTGCTGCTAGATCTGTAGTAGGAGAAAGCGAAGAACGAGGTTTCCTGTTTATTTTGTGTGACGAATCGGATAATCGACGAGATTGGTTTGAGGAATTCCTAGTGTATTGACCGACAGTAGCAGAGATGCCGGCCGGGACGGTCGAAGTGTTTCTAATAGGCGCCAGTGGCATCAAAGACACGGAGCTCTTCGGTACGTGGCACTTGAGCTCTTGCCTGGCCGTCTTGTCGAAAATCTCTTGACTTCACGGATGCGAATTTTGTCGTAGATCGGAATCCGAAGGGAACATGTATTTTTTGCTGTGGTTCCTGGCTAGTGATGAAAACCCATTTTACGTAATCGCGTTGTGATTTTTTAGGTTTCCTCGCTTTAATTCCGCTTCCCCAGTTAATCGAGCTTCCCTTACGTGTGAATCCCCATCCCCTCCTTGCCTTCACACGACCAGACCAGACCAGATTGCGGGTCGATCACTAGATTTACCTAGATAAACTTCTGAATTTAAGCCGGTTCACGCAGAACTGCTGAAAACCGGAGCCGGATATCACTTGCTCAGCTATCTCAAACTTGGTAGGACTTTAACCTGTCCGAATAGTCTGTTTCGGTTAAGCTCTCCGTGATTTCTTCTCACGTAGATTCTTAAAGCCTCTGATTATCGACGCCATCTACTGCAGTGAAACCGTGATCTGTTGTAGTACTAGTGAAGCCCCTAATGTCAGACGAGAGTTCACGTCTGACGAGGAAAGTCGCACTCGATCTTTGATTACGATCACGTACTTGAGCGTTATTTTGAGCATGATGAGTTTCTATTATCCCTGTTCTCCAGATTAACCTGGATTGACTGTCAGATGCCGTCAGATTCTCGAAACTTTTCAGCTGTCAACGTAATTTTGAGGGATGGGAAAGTCCTCCATTTTATGTGCTCGTATTATACCCATGAGGCAGAATATATTCTTAATGCCATTGAGAGAATTCGTATTGTTACTGAATTATAATTACTTATAGTTGGTTTTATCCATATTTTCAGGCAAGGCAGATCCGTATGCCACCTTGGCGTGTGGGAAGCAAAAGCTGCGGAGCAACGTTGCCACAAGTACTGATTTGAGGCCTTTGTCTTTGTTTCTGTGTCATCTCAATACTCGAATGTCCTTAGATAGGTTTGCTGCTTTGGTTCACGAAGAAGCATTTTCAAAGCAACCCTACTGGCTCCTAGCTGAGGTTATTTTAACACTTTAAGTTTGACGATATCATGTAATTGATGTCAAATCCTCATTTTTGTAGCTACACAGCAAGTGGAAAATCATCTGGCTAAAGTACATGCGTGGCGGAGCCGTTGGCGATCTCTTTATGCAAAGGTTGTAGACATCAGTGTTATTACCCACTTACCCCTGTGTCTGCTGTTGCCTTCAGATCAAGGCTCAAAACCAGTTTGGAATCAAAGATTCAGCTTCTATATTGACGATCAAGCAACCGAGCTACAAATTAAAATACTCAACCACAATTACTTGACAGAAGATGATGAAATCGGAAGCACTACGTGAGTTTCCATCCTCTGCTATTTGTTCTTTTTGTGTTGCTGCAGTTGACACATAATGCAAAATAGTCTTGTCTTGCACTTAATAACACAAGATAACCTTCACTGACTTTTCATTTTTTTTTAGCCTTCTCTAGGCCTAGGTTTTCAGGTTGTTTTTTTAGATCAGTATAGACCAAGTAGAATAGATTGCTCCTGTTTTCTGTATCTGTGCATAGACTCTAGAAGTCTAGTATTTCATGAAGACGAGAACGGGCATATAAACTGATGATGGTGGCATCCTCGAAGTTGAGACTTAGCTTTAAAGCATATAGCTGCTTTCGATATCAACTGTTGAGTTCATTACTGAAGTCGGAGGCACTATGAGACACTGATATACATCATGTATATCTCTTGCATGTGATCAGGATACCCTTGGCCAAAGTATTTGCCGAAAGCAAGCTGCCAACTACTAGCTATAACGTTCTTCGACCGTCTGGCAGAACTCAAGGGGAAGTAAAATTGTCAATCACATTCACTGCAAAGGTACTTTAACTAGTTTTGTGGATTTTGTAATATCCTATTTCGGTACATAGAACTTTCAAATGCCACATTCTAATCTTGAAGAGATTCGTAGGAAGACTTCGTGTTGGCGGCATAGAGGACATAAGAATGGCGTTTGCATTTGAAACATAATTTGTATGTCTTTCACTTAGGCGCCTATCTAATCTTCTGATCTGTCTAATTATCGCATGCGAGGCTCGTCTGTTTGGTTTGATATTTTTAATTAGCAAGTGAAAATAGTTTTCCAGAAAGCCTAATAGGTGTCCTGTTTGATGGCTGCAGAAGAAGGCAGGCACTCAACCTAGCTCTGGTCGTTACGGTTCTGTTTCTGGTTCTGTTTCTTCTAAGCCTTTCCCTCAACCTTACGTTCAGGGCGAGCCTGAGCCCAGCCACAAGCATGACCCCTTGAGAGGTCCAGATGGATATCACAGGAAGCCAAATGATTCTCTACCTTATGGCTCCGGAGTAGGGAGTTGGACCAACAACAACAGCGACGAAGGAAGTACTCGACCCCCCTATGGCAGTCAACCTTCTTATCCGAGCGATTCTGATGGAAGCAGCAAACCTAGACATTCAGGGAGCAGCGAGTCAGGCAGCACCAGACCTTATCCAGTACCTGCAGCGTCTCCTTCTTATCCAACAGGATTGTATCCGCCCCTGGGACCTCGGGATAAAAACGAGAGCCCTGCTACGTCGTACGAGTATTCTCTTCCTGCGAATGGATCTACTCATGGGACTGGTTATCCTCACGTGCATCCTTATGCACCGTCAGCTCCTGTCGAATACGAATCAAACCATTATCACCAGCCTCCTTACGAGCAGCATGTGACTCACTTGGGTGAACCGGGTGACCATGGAGGCATACCCAGGCCATCTCAGTATCCTCCGATACATCATCCTTCTTCTCCTGCGGGTCCCAGTCAGAAACATCGTAATGCTGATTATCTTGAGGACGTCACAGCAGGCATTCAAGCAATTCCTTTAGGTCATTCTGCCGATGGTAGTTCTCAAAGTTACGGAGCTCATCCAACGACCAGACCACCACCAAATCCATATCCCAGCGGAAGTTCGCATGGAAATTATCCCGGGTACCCTTCTGGTACAGGCAAAATGAATGAAAGAAACCCATCTGAGTATCCGCCTCCAAGTGTGTACCCCGGTGGAGGATATCCCCCGTCTGAAGGAAGCAGTCATGGGAAACCACCTGCCAGTGAGTATTCCTATCATCCTCCTACTTATCCGCCGCCTGCTTACCCTCATTCTGATAGTAGTAGCCACGGGAATTACAGTGCCCCACCTGCAGGTTATCCTCACCAATACAGCAATCATGGTCCAATGTCTAGTCATTATCCTCCGCAACCTCCCATGTATATGGGTCAACATGAATCTTACCCACCAGTACCTTTCTATCATGCACCTCCAAATCACTACGTTCCAGCTGGTTATCCCAAATGAGCCGTCAACATTCGGAAGTAGCCTGGAACGTGAGCTGCCGACTGAACTGTGTGCTGCTGGTCTCGGTACAAGTAACTGACCAGGTATTGCAGGTGATCGATCACTTCGCAGGAGATACTTTGTTGCAATCCATTTGCCATTACGAGGATCAGGAAGGCGGTACTCACTCGGGTTAGTTCCGAAAGCGAAAAATAATGTAAAGGCACAAGTGACGGTTATTTGTGGGCTTCGTTTGGACAAGTGGGATGTTGAAAGGAGTACTCGGTCCTTACCTACATAATCTGCAAGCATGACGGAGGCTCGATGCAGGGCACAGGGTATGGAGGTTTTTCGGTGGTCTCTAGGTTACATCAGTTGAGACAGCTGATGTCTACCAACATCCTTAAGAGAGGTTAGACATGAGGACTGACGTTATGATAAAGAGGTAGAGAAGTCTCTCTCAGCATTGTATAAAAAAGCGGACTTTTCTTAAACTTTACTTCTGGAGGATTCTTTCGTCAGAAGCAGATTTGGGCATAATTTACCTTCCGACATGAACGATCGTCCTTACAGGTGGGACCAAGAACGGAGTGTACAGTGATAGACCGCTGCTTCATGATTACTTCGTAATCTTAGTCCTAATGGTTTTGGCGTGGGTATTCGATTGTTTTAAGGAAGGATTGGGCCTTGTGATATTTTGCCACTTGACGAGATCACGTATGTTAGAATTTTGGTGCAGTAGGTACAAAAGAACTGAAGACAAGTTCCAAGGTGTAAGTTTGTGGAGATCTTATAGTAAGACGATTAGAGATTAGAGCTATTGCGTTAGAGAAAGGGATGGTACGATTCAAGGTTAATAAGAGCTTCTTCAACTCCGTGTTTCATCAATGTTAGATATCTATGGTGACGTGCAGGAGCTTCAAGGAAGTAAGCCTAAAGCTATTGAGATGTATTCTGATCTATTGTATTTTTCTGTAATGGTGGATGGCAATAAACCCTTCTAGATATGTATTATAAGCTACGCATGGGTATTTTAAAGAGTTCTGAGCCGTGAATATGCTCAGTGCTATTTAGGTTCGAACGATCTTGTCGATTTAAGGTTAGTCATCTTTTCAGTCATTAAATTGCTGGGCTGGAGATAGCTGGGCCTAATGGAGTGTAACAAAATTCTACGCCTTTTCTCTTGTGTAAGTTGTTCATATCTTGTCGAAAGACAGCGGAATTCTCAACTATAAGCAGCTCCTGGCCAAATCTAACTTTTCTTTTCAGGTTGGTAGCGAATCAAATCATGCACTAGATAATATCTGTAAATCTTTATGTGCTGTGAACTGAATGTCTTGTCCTTATTGCTCGATATATGATCGAAACCAAGCGGATGAGAAGATCAGAGCATCATGCGGATGTTCTACAAGCGAACAATGTACTGCGCTTTCTTGCAAGAAGAGTAAGGTTATGTATATGCAGGATTCTGTGGACTGATATGCATAAAAGATGAGGCACTACAATTTGTTGTGTTGTGCATCTGTTGTTTATGCGCCGATTCGTCTTGCACGAGCGAAGCATCCCTGACAGATGCATGACCAGGGTTATGCATCACAGATAAAAGTTATGAATGATTTACGATGTTGAGACCAGGATACGGCGATGAATATTGCCATATTTAAGCATAAGCAATGTACACACAGCATGATGAAATTAACGGTAAGAAACAGTAGCACTCCACTCTACAAACCTCAGGTTAGTCCAGCCCCCAATCTACCCGGAGTTTCTTCGTCTCGAACATTCATACTTTTCTTGGGAGCCTGTCTTGAGGCCACATTTTCAATGGGGCCTTCTTTGTACTTCTCAGATCAAGGTTTCAGGACACAGGCTGCTGGACACCCGAAATAATTCCGCTTAGACCTTCGGAAGTGACTTCTTAATGTCCCCCGTCACCTTGAACGCTATAATCGAATAAGGTACAAAATTTTCGAGAAGGTTCCGCCTTCCCAACAATACGCTTTTGCTCTAATCTGCAGTAGGTTTGCTTGGTAACATCCTTGCTTCTAATCAATAATTCTTTTATTCCTTTTCTTAGATCTAGTCTATCTTTAGTGGGCCTTTGCAACTATTTGGCCTGATTGAAATCAGATAGTGAAATACAATGTCAGAAAATGAGACGGAATACTTGGCCGTGATCGTTGTTGAAATGTTCCAAGCGAAGTCCGTCCTGCTCAATCTTATTTTCTAGTTCCAATTCATCATGCCACTAGGCCTCACAATTCGAATGGTTGGAAAGAATATCCCGATTTTTGGGATATCCCTTCCAACCAGTCGAATTGTGAGTCTTAGTGGACCATGTAATCCTATAGCCGTACTGTTTACATTCCTCTCAGTCATTCTGACCTCTGCAATCCACCCTGAGTGTTGAAAAAAAGATGCACCACAGCTCATTAATGAAACAGAGTAACCTCATTCAATGCACCTTTTTTTATGAACTACAACGAATGTACAAGAAGCAACGGGAGTTAATGTTTTTCCTTCATAATACTTTTCTTCTGCGCTTGTATTGCCAGTGGACTTTGACTGAGTCTACTAGTTCCAATGCCAATTCTTGAAACAAAATAACTGACCAATCCTGAAAGTAATGGATAACGTTGGCTGTAGAAGTGGACACAGGGATCGAATTATCTAACTCCGTTCTACTCCATGGCCATGACTATGCACATTCAAACTTTTTAGCTCCCTCGTCTTTAAACTGGCGCAGGCATTGTGGAAACATCAGATCCATTGCGCTCCAGTCTCAGTTCTCCTTATCGACTAACGAGGTCAACCTGTTCATATCTGGGCCATCATCATGCAGGAGTAGTACAGGTCAAGTCTCGAATTGAAAGAGAGAACACTTCCCTCAGCATTCTTTCCACGTTGAGGTCTGATCTTTTGCTCTCTCAGTGATCACCACATCTTCGTTCTTTCTACACACTATCGATCAGACGTCCACAAATTTTCACATCCGGTGGCGTCTACAACGCTCGACAGATTGGTGTCTCGATAGAGTCTCAATCTAGAAGCTTCGATTTCGAGTGTCCGTTTTCCCAATCCACAAAATGGAGAGCATTTTCTCGAGCCGTAGACTGCTCGGTTCTTTCATAACTCTGCCGGTGCTGAGCTCGTCGTTGGACATCGCATCTGCAGATCAAATTGCGACCTACTGGGGCCGAAGAGGCAATGATAACGCGGAAGGCAGCCTGGGGTTCTTCTGCAACAATGTCAACCGAGGCATTCGTGTGATTTCCTAAAAACTCGGCCAAGGCCAAGCACGTGAGAACATTATAGAAGCAACTACAAACTGATGAAGAAATCAGTGAGGACACACAGAAGATGTATACTGAACGACGCTGGTCCATGGATAGAGTTTAGTGCATTAAGCTGTGATCAATCGGTCGGTTCTAATACCTGCAGTAAAGACTGAATGTATCTAAATTCAGTTGTATACAAGATTACACATAACTCTAACTTCTGACGACCATCGATGCAAACTATTATGCACGTAACTTTTGACAATATTTGCGCTGCATGTATGAGAATACTCTTGTAACTGATTGCCATCCATTCTCGCAGTAAACGTACGTAAGTTATACGATTTACAGATACCTGAGTGGATGAAAGCTGGATATCCTTCAAGATGTCGCTTGTTATGTGTCCTGTCAGTCTGCATGGTGAGCAGCCACAAGTTCACTATTCTGTCTTGACCACTCGCATCAATTGCTCTCGGATGGATTACTAATCTTTGCGCTTGGGGCAATGACGCAGTTAGTGAGGTGAAACCGAGACGCGTCAATTGCTGGTTGAAAACTATTTCCATTCCCATTTCCATTTTCTAATAGCACCTAATCTGTCGAATATTTGACGGTCCCGCGGTTTCTGAACTTATCTACTGGATGGACGTCCTCCTACCCTCGGGAGCTAAATATAAAAATAAGAAAAAAACAAAAGATCGATGAAGAATACCTGCATCTCATCTATCTCATCTGCAATTAACCTTTCATCCATAGTGCGATTCTGATTGAGCAAACCTCTTTACAGGTAGTGTGAAATGTGCATCTACATATATGTCATGTGTGATAAATGGACCGTAAATCTTGTAACATATCGATTTTTCCATTACTTCTAAATTTTATTTCTCTATCCATTTGGCCTTCTTTGTGACTTCATGAGGACGGACCTTCACCTTGCTGACCTGCTGCATAGCCTGTAGATCCAAAGTACAATCGACTTCTCTTTGTTTTGTAGATCAATCCCTGCAGTTCTGAAGTTTATATCCTACTACACATGTGACAACAAAACAAGGTGAGGGGATAAAGTACAAGTCCATGTTCAAGGGAGATGGAGAAGATTCACAGTCTGCTTCTCCTAAGGTCTTCACTATCGCGACCAGGAGGATTGGCCAGCTTCCTCAGAAAGCTCTGGTTATTCCGTAAGTTGCCAGAGATCACCTCAGAAAGAAGGTAGCTTGTTGCGATCTGCATCTTCCCTCAATGCGTGGACTTATCGTCCATATTATCTTTCGGTCACTCCTGCTTTGCAACAGAAGTTCCATGTGAAATCTGCGCCGAGCAGGTCCTCAGTAGTGAACTTGCATGGAGATGTAGACCGTTCATGACTTCGGAAGCGGCAGAGCGCATTATTGTAGCCGACAAGAAAGACTCATAGTGGTGTCAAGTTAGGCTGCGTTCAGGAGCTACAAATCGTTCAGTTCAGTGAATACTTTTCAACTCTACAGCAAACGTTATTACTGAGATCAGGGGCTAAGTGTCCATTTCCTTGAACTCCAGTCCGATGAATTATTATTCAATTGCGATGAAATTATCTTGACCTTGTCAACATAATTTGCAATGAAACGAGCATAAGAAGTCCTTTTAGTGCAATGAAACTCCAGTCGACAGTATAATCACACTGCTCCGCACCTAGACAAATGTAAGGAAGTCCTCCGAGCTTGGAGACATTTACCGTCTGGATTGACTGACAGGGTAGGCTATAGCCTTTGGATTGTCTATCAATGCAGATTCTTAGGAAGTGTTCATATGTGACGAATGTGCATCAGAGAGATGGACTAATTTTTAACAAGAGGCTACAATAGTTGTTAGTATCAACACCCAATTTGTGTGAAAAAAGTATGAACATTTATAATTTAACACTTCAAAATTACGTTTCTTCTTAATATGCATGGACCATGGTTCCAACTTGACATATTTAATAGCGCTTTGATGATCAGAATTTAACAACTTGACGTCGGTTTCATCAAGAATTCAAGAATCTGAAAAAAAAATTTCCTACTTCGGTTGCGAGTACTTGAGCTGTGTTATATTCTCTTCGGTATTTACATAGTTATCAGTCATTAGGATCTTGTTTATCAAGATTTTGAGATAAAAAGAAAGAATTAGTAATATTTAACCAGTAAATGACTGCCAAATCTACATCTCAATTCATGTTTTGTTGTTAAGCACATGAATATAATTTCATGTGCTTAATAAAGTTAAGAGAATGATTGATAAAATTATTTTCCTTGTATTAAATTCTTTTTTAGAAATTTTAAATCGTGTTAACTATTATGATCAAAGTGAGTATTTTTAATCATGAAATTAAATTGGAATCACTAGTATTTTAGATATCGATTTGAATGCATTTTTTTCAAATTAATTAGATTATCTTAAATGAACATATATCATCGTAATATATAAATTTATAACACTATACTATCCATTCATTTTTATGATTTCAGATAATCATAAGGTCATCTTATATTTAATATGGAATACATATATTCAATAAAAGATGATGAATAGTTTGAAAATAAATAAATATTTTATTCAATTAAATCGTTTTTTCAAAGATGATCTAAGTTAAACTTCATGTAGTAGTAGATCCTAGTTATATTATTCATTTTGCTTCTCTTGAATTATATGAAATGATAAAATCAACTAAAAAGTATATTACTTAAATGAACAACTTGTTATTGAACTAGAAAACTTATATGATTTTTTTTATAA